TTGTATCATTTCATGGTTACTTTCGTCCATTTGTTGCCTCAAAATTGCTGTCGAAGCATTTGTGAGACTTGGTATCATATGAGATGGCCCTCCCAAAAATTGGTTTCTACTGGCTCCAGATCCCTGTAATGGTGATGTTGCATTTACCAAAGGTTCTGAAAAAGTAGACACATCATTCATAAGGCTAGCCATTTCAGTAGTTGGCATGCCATATGGCTGTTCTCGACCCATCCAAGTTGTCGAAAAGCCTGGGGGTACAGTTGATCGAGATCCTAGGTTTATCCTTGGTGGGGGTGTTCCTAAAGGACCTCTTGAACCCACGTACGTAAGTAAGGGTCCAGTTTGATTCATGGTCAACGCTGGTATGAATCCAACAGACATTGGGATATTCCCTTCAACAGTAGTAGTAACTACTGTCCCTGTAACTGGTGGAGGTATTTCTCCATGGTTTGGCTCGTTAGCCATACTACTCTCTTTGTTTTCCTTTCTAACAGTATATTTGTTGGTTACTCTACCACTTCTTAATAACATGCAATGTTATAACTGTACAGGAAAAACAAAATAACATAGAAAATTAGCAACTCCCCATCAGGTGTGCCAATTTGTTTACCGTGGTTTTTGGTAAACAACCGCTGGTCTCCAAAAGGTAAGTTTTTTGGTTTACTTGCGGGATCGACCAAACTAATCCCAGAACATATGTTAATCTTTATGTAAAATGAGTAAGAAGGAAGAACGCACGTTCGACCCAGGGGAAAGATGTTTGAGATTATTGAACAGTAAGCAAAAGCATAAAAATGCAAGTAAAAGAAATAAAAAGATGACTTTGCAGGATAATGGTAAAGTAAAGTAAAAAGACTTTTATTAAGTAAAAAAGGTGTTTCTAACGTACATTGCTCTGCTTTTATCTTTCTCACGCAGTAGTTACTTGGATAATATTTGAGAGATTTTGTACCATAAGTTGAACACGTCTAAAAATTACACAAGCTTCTTAATTTATACTAAAAGTAGGTAATCGTCGAGGGGACATTCTGCGCTAGGATGAAGACAAGTGTCTTTTGCATGCCTCTCGACCCATAGCTTTTTGCCACGTTCCCTTCCCTTAGACGCTGATGAAAACCATCTTTCCCTCCAATAATTCAAATTTCAAATGGTCTTCGTCCCATGTGCCAAGGCGCGAACACTTTCCTTCAGTCGAACAACCTAAATCTGCTTCAGTCGAATGAACCCTTGATCGAAGACTCTTATCATAACTTAGATCCTTTTTCCTAAGTTATCTCGTGTTTCGAATACCTCCTGGTTTAGTTCATTCCAATTTTTTTGGTCTAAAAGACCAAATACAGTAAGTGTCGAATTTGGGAGCCAACACCCGTGACGCAAATATTTTATCAGAATCCGGTTTTTTTTGGTAACAACCAAATAATATTTTATAAGGTTAAGGTTCAAGATGACGAGTATCTTCAAAATATGTTTTCCGGTCATGAGTATTCTGGGTACGACTCTATTGAGTTGTACATTATGCTGCGAGAGCCTCAGCTGTCATAAGTGGTTGATCCTTTGGAGACCGAACAAGCAGAAGTAGATGCAGTTGATAAAGAATAAGAAGATGATGAGTTGGAGTTTGACGAAATGGTCAATGATGATTCCGAAGACGATGGGATACCTGGTATTCCTGCAAACGAGATCTACACACCACCTCCGCACATGACAAACTTCAACATGGGCGGAGATGAACCGTCTTCTGATTTATTTTTCAATCCGTATATGCAGTCGGATGAAAACTTAAAAGAGAAAGACAAATTTCGTAACAGAGAAGAATGTATCAGAGCCATCAAAAAATTCCACATGCTCAACTCGATCGATTTTAAGGTGGACCGTGTAAATCCAAAAAGGTACAAGATCAAGTGTGTCCACCCTGATTGTATGTTCAGGCTCACTGCATCATAAAGATTAAGAGGTGATTGTTGGGTCATAGGTTTCATGTTTACCCACACTTGTGTCAGTTCTACTCAATCACAGGATCATCGAAAACTTAATTATGATCACATTTGTCAAGAAATCCTACCACTGGTCAGTAACGATCCATCTTTGAAGGTGAAAACCATAATCTCCCACATCACTACGGTATTTAACTATACTCCGTCTTACCGAAAGGTGTGGTTAGCAAAAACCAAGGTGATTGAAAAGGTATATGGAAACTGGGAGGAGTCATACCAAGAACTTCCTCTCTACCTGAATGCGCTCCAGACTTATTCTCCGAGTACTGTTTACATTCTGAAAACAGTGCCAGCATACGCCCCGGATGGTAGTCAACTCAATGGAAATGGAATATCCAGTCGAGTTTTTTGGGCTTTTCAACCTTGCATCACAAGGTTTGCATCATGCAAACCAATTATACAAATTGATGGGACTTGTATGGGAAATACAAAGGCACGCTACTGATGGCAATTACGCAAGCTGGCAACAACAACATTTTCCCAATTGCCTTTGCCCTAGTCGAGGGGGAGACTGGTGGTGCTTGGAGATTTTTTCTCAAAAATCTGCGAACACATCTGGCTCCTCAACCAGATCTCTGTTTGATCTCGGACAGATATGCATTCATTGAAAGTGCATACAATAATCCTGCAAACGGTTGGCATGACCCTCCTTCTACGCATGTCTATTGCGTTAGACATATCTTTCAAAATTTCACGAGGGAGATCAAAGACAAAACATTTAGGAAAGCGGTTATGAATGCGGGATATGCATTGACACAACCTACATTCAAATATTATCGCAACGAGATCCATTTGTCAAATCCGGAAGCCGGTAGGTGGATCGACAATATTCCAGTAGAAAAATGGACTAGGTCATACGACAATGGCCAAAGATGGGGCCACATGACAACAAATCTAATTGAATCAATGAATGGGGTATTCAAAGGCATACGAAACCTTCCGGTCACTGATTTGGTAAAATCAACATATTTTAGGATGGCTTCGTTGTTTGCCAAAAGAGGTGAAATATGAAATGCGGTGTTGCAATCTGGACAACTATGGAGTGAAAGTTGCATGAAGTACATTAAGGCAGAAAGTGCCAAAGCCAACACCCATATGGTTATACGGTTTGACCAACACAGCCACAACTTCATTTTCAAAGAGACAATCGACCACAACGAGGGCCTGCCAAGACAAGAATATAGGGTTGTACTACCTTCTCGTTGGTGCGATTGTGGCAAGTTTCAAGCCTTTCGTATTCCTTGCTCTCATGTCATTGTCGCGTGTGCCTATACTCATCAAGACGCGCTACAACTTCTGTCACACATTTACAAATCTGAAACGTTGCTTAATGTTTACAATAATAACTTCCCTTTGGTAGCAAAACCAGATTATTGGCATGCATACGACGGTGAAATAGTATGGCACAATGACCAAATGCGAAGGAATAAAAAGGGTCATCCCAAAAGTAAGCGCATCACAATCGAAATGGACTCCCTTGATAAGCTGGAAAGAAAGTGTGGTTTATGTCGTCAGGTCGGACACAATCGCAAAAATTGTCTGAATCGGGCTACTGCCTCAACCACATAAAAATTGTATTACATAAAATCTTTCCTTTATTATGTTGTAAACATTAGGTTTTTTCGTTAACAGTATTTGTTACAATAAACTTTGCGCGAACAAGAAAAAAACACGATAATTCATCTACGAAATTACAACTGTTAAAACAATTTCATCTGACCCATGCATCATCAATATTACGTCGCTGTCTGTTTTGACTTCCTCCAACCAAACATTAGGTATTCCTCGCAAGTGAGGTTGTTGTTCGTCTTCACTGGATCCTTCTAATTTTTTCCCCTCCACAATGTCTCTATCTAGACATCTCATCAACTCCCGCTTCAGACACTCCATAGAGTGAATGTGCAAGAATTTCATTTTTATCGTAGGTTTCGTGGCGGAGAAGATAACGTAACCATCTCTGGTAAAAATCATGGGCGATGTCATGACGCAAATAACAGAGTAAAAAATAAGAAAACAGTGCGAGAAAGTGTGAGAAATGACGGAGAAACGGACGAATTATTTATAAAAATAACATTTTGTCCTAGGAGCCAAGTGAGATGGCGCCTCCTCTCACTTTTAAAGTGCATGCGCCATCTCACTTGGCTAAAAGAGAGAGGAGGCGCCAAGTGAGATGGTGCCTAGGACATTATGCTTAGTGGAGGCGCCAAGTGAGATGGCTCCTCCTTTGGAGAGTCATCTGAAACATGATTATTTGCGTAATTTTTTCCGAAACATAGTTATTTGTGAAAAAATTTTTTAATACATGATTATTCCAAAAAAAAATCGACATATGGTAGACAATATTATTACTATTGTACTTACACTAAGTACAAAAAGAAAATAATTATAAAAAAAAAAGAGAATAATATATTTAAGAAATATTTTAATATTAAAATGGATTAATGATAAGTTGTTTTTAAGAAATAAATCAAAATTTAAAGCATTTTAAAAAGAAAAAGATGAACAAGAGCTTGTTTGAATGAGTTTTTTTTTAAAAACTATTTTGTAAATCAATTTTAAAAAATAATGTTTAAAATAAAAAAATATAAAAAAACATGTTTGATAATCTTATTTTAAAAACTATTTTAAAGTTATATAATATTTAAATATTTTCCTTCTTAATTTTCAAAACTAAAAATCAAAAACTAAAATCTCTAAAACCTATTTTAATTTTTAAATTTTTTAAATTTCTAAAACTGTTAAATAGATAATCTTATTCTCAATTTTTAAATTTTTAAAACAGTCAAAATCAAACAAATTGTACTGTTTTCAAATTTTAAAAACTAAAAAAAACAGTTTTACAAATGAAACAAACCCTAACTTTATTCGCATGAAAGGATTAATCCGAGAATATTCTGACTTGTCACTAAGTCCACTTTGGCATGCTAATTCTTATATGCATATAAGATTGAACTGACACTCTCTGCCTTACACACCTTCCAAAAGCAAAGCGACAAATCATTACCAATGGCGGCCACATTCTCATCTCTCTCCGACGATATCCGCTCACCGATCTTACCACCTCCGGCGAATAACAAAACTGAAAAGATCTGCATAGACGAGATGCTTCAGAAATACTGCGGCGAATTCGGAAAGTGGCAGTTGAAACATTTCGTTCTCACTAGTCTCGCTTGGGCGCTGGAAGCTTTTCACACCATGGTTATGATTTTTGCTGATCGGGAACCTGACTGGGAGTGTGTTTCCGGTATAAAGTGTTCCGCCGCTGGAAGTGTTTGCGGTATGTCACCCGAGTCGTGGGAATGGATCGGCGGAAAAGCCGCTTCGACGGTGTCGGAGTGGAGTTTGATTTGCGGTGATAAGTATAAAGTTGGGCTTGTTCAGGCTGTTTTCTTCGCCGGCTGTATGATCGGTTAGTTTTATCTTATTTTCTACATTCTCTAAACTTAAACATAATTAGATGTGAATTGTTATAACTATTATAGTAAAATTTAATTTATTTTTAAAGTGGTCAAGTCTTATAAAACATATTCTAATAAAATAAAATTATCTTTAATATTTTTAATTTTTTAACTCTATAAAAGAGATTAAAAATTTATGTTGTGTCTCTTAAAACAATTAATAAATATAATTTTAAAAATAATAATTTTATTATCTACAAAGAATAGCGGGGCAATTTAATGTTAATTTATTTTTTATTTTTATATAATTTTAATTAAATATAATCCTTAACTTCTTAATATAATAGTAACTTGTTTGTTGTATTTAGTCAAAAAAAATTATTATAGAAGCAAAGAATATAAAAATAAAGATCTCTGAGTAAATTAAAAAAGAGACATGTGTAAGTAACATGTACACTAATGATATTTCTATGGTTGAAATTTTCTAAACATTACTTTATCTTATCACTCATCATATTTTTAATTTTATTTTTAAAAAACAACATCCTTTTTAAGATCGAAGTTTTGAGCATTTTACATTGTAGGGGGTCCATTAAAATTGACTTTATTATAGGTAGTAGAAGATTAAAAGGACCACATGAGCATTATCATTCATGTCTATTCGTTGTCTTGCTAGTTCAAATAATTTTGTAAATTTACCAATTCCGTGGGGGTAAGGGTCTTGTGTATTAAACATCTGGTTGCAAAATTTCATGCCACTAGTGGACAACAACTTTGAGACAATAATAAAATGAAAAAACTTGCTAGTTCAAATAATTTTTAGTAAATTTACGAATTCCGTGGGGGATGGGGTCTTGTGTAGTAAACATCTGGTTGCAAAATTTCAAGCCACTAGTGGACAACAACTTTGAGACAATAATAAAATAAAAAAACTTAGATGTATTTTCTTTGATGAGTTTTATATTTTTTTAAATAAATCTATAATTTTTTCTTACACATATATAATTTTTAAAATATTTTTTAAAAAATATTTAAATATATTTATTATATTTTTATTAGAGAAAATAATATAAATATTCTCCATAATAAAATTATATAAACCATACACGCATTTATTGCTTAAATAATAATAATAATAATAATAATATAAATTCTTTGATAGTCTTAAGTTGGTTACCGATATTTTTAATATAAATTATTATAAAGTTTTAGTTTATTTTAATATAAATTAAAATAAAAAGGTGACTTGTTATGAAATTAACCATTTGATTAAATTTAAGGGTATGGAGTGTTAGCGTTGACAATCCATTGTGCAGTTATGTATTTCTCTATTCATGATACTTGTATATCGATTTGTAGACAACTAATTTTCTTCAAAGATAAAAGATTAGAAATTCATATATAATAATAGGGATAAAATATGGTGGAATAATATAGTAAGTGTGAGTAAGTGGGAAAATAGTCTCCCATTGAATATGAACGTGAAGAGTTAAGTATATATAAATGGGAGAACTCACTCACCTATCACCTTAAGGTTTTAGATGAATATGTGGTGTGTCTCTCACAAAAATGTTTCCTACAATATATATTAATGCTCCTAGTATCTCACTCCAATAGTGGTATCAGAACCTATATTATTCCAACACTCCTCCTGAAGTGTGAATCCACAACATGACTGAGAGAATAAATAGCAACTATATCTAACAGTCATATAATACAGTGAAAATAATCAAAACACTAACTAAACTCCTAAAAAATAGACCCTCCTAAATACTAGGACTTATTAAACAAATTGTATGCTAGGGACAATTAATTTGTTATTACTAGGTAAAAATATGCATGTACATATGTGGGAATATTATGTCCAAGAGTAGGGGAATCTTTCTTAGTGGAATATGAAATCATGCCCATGTAAGTATGTCTCTCGCTTTATCAGTTCAATTAAGAGATAAAAAAGGTGTTACACTATTGCAAGAGCAAAATAACGTAAACAATTTTGCATAGAACCAAGCAATATTAACTAAGACACTTGTTTAAAAAACAACCGTTGGATTGAATTTAACACAACAAAAACATTTGTCTTTTCTTTTTGGTTATTAACGCTATATACTCTTGTTCATGAATGTTCATTTATTTTTCTACCGATAAAACGTTTTCATGGTTTTCATGGATACACGAATATTTGGACCACCTAAGAATAATATCATTTAGATTGATGCTGTAATTTCAGGAGCAGGAGTATTTGGCCACCTTTCAGACTCATCTCTAGGAAGAAAAGGTTCTCTCACTGTGGTTTGTGCCCTAAATGCCATATTTGGCTGCTTAACTGCATTCTCCCCTAACTACTGGATCTATGTCCTCCTCCGCCTCCTCACTGGTTTCAGTACCGGCGGGGTTGGTCTCTGCGCCTTTGTCCTCGCTACCGAACCCATCGGCCCATCAAAACGCGGCCCAGCCGGAATGTCCACCTTCTATTTCTTCTCCGGAGGCATTGCAATTCTCTCCGGCATCGCCTACACCTTCCAAACATGGCGCACACTCTATATCGTGGCCTCCATTCCTTCTCTCCTTTACATTATCCTCGTCCTTCCCTTTATCACGGAGTCACCGAGATGGTACCTCGTTCGAGGAAGAATAAACGAAGCCACTAATCTAATGTCCACCATTGCTTCTTTCAACGGGAAACACCTTCCAGATGGAGTTGCCCTCGCACTTGACGAAGAAGTATCAGAACCAAAAGAAGCATCAAATTCAGATTACAATCTCATTAATTACAAGGAAATGAAAAACAAGGATGCACTAGTTGGATCCATCGTCGACGTGATTCGAAACCCAACTACACGTATTAGGTTAATTCTAGCAATAGCTCTTAACTTCTTAGCATCAGTGGTGTACTATGGTCTTAGTTTAAACGTTGCAAACCTCGAAACAAACCTCTACATAAACGTGCTTTTGAATTCTGTCGCAGAGATGCCAGCATTCACAATAACAGCGGTGTTATTGGATCGATTCGGGAGAAAGCCATTAACAATAGGGACAATGTGGTTCAGTGGAATCTTTTGTTTTATGGGAAGTTTGATGAGCAATATCGGCGTGTGGAGAATAATTAAAATGGTGTGTGGTGTTTTGGGAATATTTGGAATGGCTGGGACTTATAACTTGTTGTTTATTTACACAGCGGAGTTGTTTCCTACGGTGGTGAGGAACGCGGCATTAGGAACAGCGACGCAGGCGGCTCAAATGGGGGCGATTTTGGCGCCTTTAGTGGTGGTTTTGGGTGGTTGGTTGCCGTTTGGGGTGTTTGCAGGATGTGGAATTTTGGGTGGCATGTTTGCATTTTATCTGCCGGAGACACTAAACATGCCTCTTTATGATACATTCAATGGATTGGAGGCTGGACTAAAATGATGCTATTGCTAGCTAGCTCTTTCTTGTTACGTTGGGATGGTTTAAAGAAGAATGGTGCAAGTCGAGGGAGTTAAGCATTGAATTGCAAATTATTCTCCCATCTCTAAATATAAAGACTTTTTGTATAAGTATTGACTAAGTGCACTTTAGATATAAATCTATTATTGAGAAAATATCAAGTTTTACATTGATTAGATACAGAGTTTGAAAAAAAATATTGTATATGGAAATACATCAGTTACTTTACAAGTCAATTTTATAACTTTTATAGAGATATTTTAGACAAAATTCTAATTGTAATATAATTTTATTAGAGTCTATTGATGGAATTATGAACCTTTATCATTTATATCTACACACTAAATAATAATTAATAGATCACCAATTATATGTCGTGTATCGTAAGAGATGGATAGATAATGTCTTTGTATTGGTTTTATTACCCTTGTACTTTTTAAACATAATATTGCCTTGTATAAAAACAATTAATGTTTTATTTCGTTCACAAAGAGTTCATTAATTCATATCTTGCAAGAGCATAAATTCAACTCATATCATTGATATGACAATTTAAGTGTTTGTTGAATCTTAAAACTTTTCCTAATCTTTTGTGAGTACTTAGAATCCGATTTACTTAGACTTTATTTGGAGGTTTGAAGGAAAAAGCAGAGATTTTTGAAAAATCAGAAGAATTTAGGTGAGTATAATTTTGAAATTGAAAATATTTAGATATAATTTTATAAGTGTATTCATACTTTTCTCTAATAAAAGTATGAAAAATATACTTAAATATCTTTTAAGGAATAAAAATAGAAAGAAATTGTATATGTGTAAGAGAAAATTATACATTTATCATATTTTCATTGGAAAAAAAGTATAAACCACATCTAAGAAAATACATGTAAGTTTTTTCATTTTGAAAGGTTTAATTTTTTTTCATGACAAAAGAACCCTAATTTAGGAAAATAAAAAATTGGATTGGAAGAGGAATTTGGAGGATTTTAGAAGGCTCATATAAATTCTTCAATTATACTCTGCATCATTATAACATTCTAAAAATTAAAAATACTGTTCTGGACTGGGCCCGGCTGGCCCAATAGCATCGAGAAGGCCCAATCCAAACGGACTTGTCGGGGGTCACGCCGACCAAAGGATCACAGTCGTGCCCGACGTACTCCCTGGGGCTACTTGCTCGACCTCCTACTGCCCAGCTCGACTTCACCTCGAGCACCCCTCCTAGGGCAGACTCAGTCCACTGCACTCCCAACGGGACTCCGAAAAGACCGCGTCTCTGTCCGTCCGCACTTCACGCAGAACATCCAGGGAGGGGACCACGTGCAGGTCCCCACTACGCACGTAGAACCTGGCAGTTCCTCCATTGGGCCAAACCTGCCCGGCCCAATGAAGGAACCTTGGCCCAGCGTTGGGGGCTATAAATACCCTCTGTTTCCAGAGGGTCAGGTATTCATCATTCTACCCATACTCTTACTATTGCCTGCTCGTGCTCTTACTCACTTCAGCATCGGAGTGTCTTGCAGGTACCCCCCCCCCCCACCTCGTTCAAAACTTCAGCTCGGAGCCAGCCATGACGGTCCAAGTCTGATCAGGTCAGATCAGTGGCGCCGTCTGTGGGAAACTAGCTTCCCCGTCTTGCAAACTCAAAGACCAAAGCTCAAATTCAACTACCTGTCATGGCTGATCAAGCTCGCGACGAGCAGAACGTCCGTGTCGCCGACACTAATAACGGCACCGCGGACAAAAACGGACATCTTGACAACGCCGGCAATCCCGGCCACAACACCATTCCTGCAACAACCGCCCTCGGAACTTCCTCCTACAGGGACGGAGCTACTGCATCATCCTCTTCGCTCCCACCACCTCTCGAGGACGACCCGACGGCCCTCGCCCACTACAGAGCCGCCCGGTTCCAGGAAGTCCCCGTCCCCCCAGGGCCGATGCCACAACACAAGTGTTGTTCGCAGCAATTAATCAAACGAACTATCTCATCTTCGCCCAAGGAGAGAGATTAAAGGCGCTTGAAGACGAGCGAAGACCCCCGAGGAGGCATCGGAGACCACATACTCCCCCTTCTCGAGTGACTGAAGCTCGACACTCCTCTCGCCCGCGAAGACACTACAGGGAGACCTCTCGAAGCCCATCTCCCCGCCCAAAACAGAGACGGCCTTACCTGGAGAGGCAGCCCATCATTCAGGCCGGAGAGCCCAGTCGCGACCCGGCGGTACTAGAAAGAAGGCACTCTGGAGATGGGCGCGTGAAATTCAACAGCCGAGCATCCCGCTCGAGAGAAACTCAGCACGATCTGGACCGTCGTGCCAGACAATATTACAGGTCCCCATCTCTGTCTCCGGAGAGAAGCGACGAGGACGACCCCCGCGGTCCCCTGTCACAGGCTATTATGGGGGCACCCATCCCCCCCGGGCATAGAGAAGCCCCCTCACTTGAAGGAGTACGATGGAGTCGCGGACCCGGTCGACCACATAGACGGGTTCGAGGCTATGCTTCACTATCACAATGTCGGGGGCCCCATCAAGTGCCGTCTATTCCCCACGACTCTCAGGAAGGCGGCAATGGACTGGTACAAAGGACTCGCCCCGGGCTCAATCATGTCGTGGCGGAACCTGAAGAACCAGTTCCTTCACAGCTTCTCGGCGCCATCCAAAGACCGAGGCGGCCCTCGAGGCCATCATCCAAAGACAGGATGAAACCTTGAGGGAATTCATCAACCGCTTCAACCGGGAAGCAATACAGGTCCCCTGCGCGGACCATATGAAAAGATACTTGCTGGAGAGAGGGCTCCTCCCCGGCACAGAATTCAGAAAGGCCGTGGGTATCGAGCCACCTCGGATATTTGATGCCCTCCTCGAAAAGGCCCGAGCATACATGGACTACGAGGAGAGGGAGGCGGCCAACAGAGCCCGAGATTCCAGGACTCGTGGTCCCAACAGCAGCTCGCGCCAAGAGGCTCCTCCTCGACGAACCGGGGAGAAAAGGAAGGAAGACAGACCCCGGGAAGTCCGGGAACAAAGAGGACCTTCGGGGCGTTTCACCGAGTACACTCCGCTTACAGCTTCCCGCGAGCGCATCCTGGCGGAGTGTGCCAGCACCGATTTCAAGGACGGAGGTGTCAAACGTCCCCGACCTGCTCCTGCCAATCTTGGAGCAAACAAAAACAAATACTGTCAGTACCACAGAAGCCATGGTCACCTGACTGAGGATTGCGTCCACCTCAAGGACGCCATTAAAACCCTCATCAAGGGAGGGAAGCTCGCACAGTACCGGCGAAGCGACGCTCCCCGTTGTGACGCCCAAGAAACCAGGGAGCCAGAAGAAGACGCCCGACCATCTGACGAGTCGGTGCCCATCCAAACTGCCTTCTCTGTGACCAGGCCCGAGGATTTCGACTTCCCCGAGCACCTGCAAGAGCCACTTACAACGCACAGCAGGTGGGAATACTTCCCCTCCGCCCTAGTCATCAACGGCGGCGGGTTCAACGACTTGACCATCAATTCAGCCAAGAGGAAGCTGGACGAACTGGTCGACGCGGCTCCCCCGCAAACAGTGACGTTCGAAAGGGTGAAGGGCAGGTCAGAGCCCATCACCTTCTACCTGGAAGAACTTCCCGGCGGAGCCCCGAACGCGGTCATCCCTTTACTGATAAGGGCAAGAATGTCCAATTTTGATGTACATCGCATCCTGGTCGACGAAGGGAGTTCCGTCGACGTCATGTACAGCCAACTGTTCCGGACCCTTCAGCTGGACGACTCACATCTTTCACCATATATGGGTTCGGACTTACAAGGTTTCAACGGCTCGACCTCCAAACCCTGGGGATATGTCGAGCTTCTGGTTACGTTCGGGGAAGGGACGGCCACAAGACAAGTCAAAGTACGCTTCCTTGTCATCGACTGCCCGTCTCTGTACAACTGCATCTTGGGGAGACCGACACTGGCAGAGCTGACGGTGGTACCCTCGACCGTCCACCTGAAGATGAAGTTCTACACCAAGAGGGCACGGGTAGCCACTATCCAAGGAGACCTAGCCGCTGCCCACAGATGCTTCAACGCCGCTTCCAAGGGACGTGATACTGTCGACATAGGGACCAGACCCGCCAAAAGAACAAGACAGGAGCCCGACAGGAAAGCATCCCCCGAGGAAGAAGTCCAGAAAGCTCCACCAAAAGTCGATTCCATAGCTCTGGACACCCGCTTCGACCAGGACGAGCCATCCAGCAGCGAGCAAATCCCACTCCGACCAATACCGGACAGGGATTTTGAACTCGTCCCCCTCGGCACATATCCGACCAAGGGAGTGAAGATTGGCAAAGACCTCCCCGACTTGGCCAGGAAGCAAATCAAGGCCTGTTTGCGCGAGAATGCTGATCTGTTCGCTTGGAGCACCGCGGAAATGCCCAGACTCGACCCTGAGGTCGCCTGTCACCACCTCGCCATTGATCCAGCCACTAGGGTCATAGTACAACATAGGCGTAGGCAGTCTCTAGAAAAAACGGAGGCTGTTGAAAAAGCTGTAAAAGACCTCCTAGAGGCAAATTTTATTTCTGAAGCCCGGTATTCCATCTGGCTGTCAAATGTTGTACTCGTGAAAAAGAATAATGGAAAATGGAGGATGTGCGTTGATTATGCCGATCTCAACCGGGCTTGCCCGGAAGATGCTTTTCCTTTGCCTAACATAGACATGCTGGTCGACAACTCGGCCGGCTACAAAACGTTGTCGTTCATGAACGCCTACTCGGGCTATAACCAAATCCCGATGGCCCTGGGCGACAAACACTGCACGGCATTCATGACCAGCTCGGGCAACTATTACTACAACGTAATGCCCTTCGGACTGAAAAATGTCGGGGCAACTTACCAGCGCATGATGAACAGAGTTTTCAACAAACAGATCGGCGACATGCTCGAGGTATATATGGACGACATGATCGTCAAGTCCCGAGCAGACACCGACCATGCAGCACACCT